TGCAAGGCATTAGTCTTATCCTCGAGAATGTTGCGATTTGTGCTCAATTCCACGAACCCGTTTCGCACCACATCGACTGCATCAAGTGAACAAGAAACCCGATGAGGGTAACTGAGGTTTGGGACGAAGTCAGCTTCGGTCACACTGGAGGGTGATGGAGGAGGATAATGCAAGAGTGTTGCAATGTTCTCGCATCACTGACTTCTCTGTCAGTAAAGACTTCAGTGTAAATCGATGTTTGTCGAATCGTGCGTGCAGCCTGACACAAGATTGCTGAATTTGCAACGCGACATCTGCATAAAATGACAATGATTGCCCTCAGAAACTGTCCCCGCTGTGTAAAAGTTTGATTCCTTTCCAATGGAAACCTGGCCTCGCTTCAACAGCTAAAGCTACCTGTACTACGTGTGTGAAATGCGAATGTGATATTACAATCAGATGGTTTGGAGTGAGAAAAACGGGCAGAGAGAATGAATGAAGGAATGATTAAACCAATGAACTAATGCATGCTCTGCCTCCACCACGTTCCACTCAGATGATAGTAGGCACATTTGCTTGTGCATTGCTCCTTGCTCCTCGAAGGATAAAGTCGAAACGAAATGAGGCCATGTACTTGACGCAGCGTGAGGTCGGCAACGATGCATTTACACCAATCCCATCTAACATCAACATCAACAACAACATCAGCACAGTAAATTGATTGATGCTGGACATTTAGTGCTAACAGGACGGTGCCCAAATGCACAGCCAAAACGATGAAGAAATAGCCACGCAACCACTGAGTAACAATGCAACCAAACAAACCACTTAAGATAAACTAGTAGTAGAGCTGAATGACCAAAAGTGCGCTCCATTTAATTTCACTCCAGTTTCCAAGCCGTGCTATATCACGAAGTTGGGCACTTATTGACCAATGTTCCGGTTTCTTTTCTTCCTGATTCCGTCTAATACGGTTTCTAATTAAGGTCATCTCGCCGGTGCACATCACCTTGGTTCTGGAGCGTTGATTTTCAGCGTGGTGCGAAGAATGCTGTTGGAGTCAAGTGAGGACGGTACACACTCCTTACTTTCACCTTCTTCTGCGAAGTCACATGCTGGAATGTGATTTGTGCAACATCCAAATTGGTGCACGTTCAACTGAATGAGAAACCCTTGGTTTGGTCTGCGGTGACATGTTTGTGATCTATGTTGAGGTTCTTTATGCCTCAACTACCAGCAGGAATGGATGACGTTCCGGCCAAACTACTATGCACTTAT